TAAAGATATATAAAACCTAATATCAATATATCAGTCTGAATAATAAAGCCAAGACAGAGGTTCTATAGACAAAGGGGGTTAATAAAACTTTGTAACCCATTACTGCTGTGGTTTACCACACGCTATATAACCTCTAAAAAGTAACTATTAAGATGTTTGCATTCATCTTGATATTTCTGATAACATTAAGCCTGCTTGGTAGTGTGAGGAATTTGAGTATAATCTACTGACATCATTTCATGCTAAAGTTCTGCTTTGTCTGTGGAGACGTGACATACAGGCCTTCCTTTGTGTCCACGAGGTCCTCTTTCTCCTGGAGAGCGGGCGGTCCCCTGTTGTGATGAACAAAAAGAACCAATAAAGTCAGAGAGTGATAATATGATAAGATACGTAACAGGGGTGCCTAAAATGCCACAGCGACTCCAACACTGCAGGGCTATCTCACTGTGCGGGAGCCTTTTAAGGTGAAGTTATGCAGGAGGAACTGTTACTCTTATGCCATCTAGTGTCAGTTCAGGTGATTCAATATTCACACAAAGCTGGGCAAGCTGTCGTTTGCAGATGCTTCCAGAAACCCTTTTTAGAAGATGCAACAGGTGAAATAAGCTATGAAGTTGCTCACCATAGGTCCGGGGCGGCCTCTGATACCAGTCACCTGCAGGGACATCAAACACATAGTTACACCCTGCATTTAGACTCTAATTTGTATGGCTGTTTATATCGGTTTATATTTAGTGAACACTTACAAGTGGGACATCCCCGGGTTCTCCCTTCTGTCCCTGAATAAACAGATAAATGGGAAAACCTTTCAAACACACACTCCATGACGGTGACAATATCTGCAAACATCATGACAAAGCAGCGACGGCCGACATCACGAAACTGTGGCCTACCTTATAGATCCTGCCGCCGCCTACATTGGGGGAAAAAGCACACGAGATCTCAGTACTTGTTCACCGTACCACAGCTGCACCGTGAGTTTGTCAGGTATGGGTTCGAAAGTCAGCAGTAAATCATCAGTGTGAAAACGACGGTGAAGCCGCTCTGAAGACATTCATTTGTCATCATTAAGCAGGTCAGTCCAGCTAAACAACAGTCAATGAACTCAGTCAGCATGAGTCTATTTATGTGCAGCAGCTTGATGATGGCAGTAATTTCTTCATTGTTTCTGACGGATAAATTGATTATTTCACTGGCAACACAGACACCTGACATATTTCATGGTGATGATTTCATTCATATTATTGATGCCAAATGTGAACTGATTACTTGTTTGTCCCTAATTGGGGCTCTACAGTTGATTCTATAACATGGGTTGGTCTGATTGCGCTCCCATAGAAAGTAGCAAATCAAAAGGATTTCACTTCTCAACCCAAGAAATGGCCACAGAGAGCAGCCTGCTCGCTCACCAAAAGTGTCCTGCCCGCCGGTGCTGGCTGAATCAGTCTGGCAAACAGGGCAGCACTCGCCCTCGGGGATGACCACCTTCTCACAGTTAGACAGCTCATCGCACTGGATTTCATCGCACAGGACCTGGCCGTTGTCGCAAACACAGATCCGGCATGGCTCCGGCTTCCAGATGTCCCTGTTGGTGTACACCTGGCCGTCCGCCGTGCAGCTCATGTCATCTCCTGGAACACACAGACGCGGAGGACACTCTTAGTTTATCAACTTTGTGCCACAGTTACATTAATGGCAAAAGCGAGTAAAGGACAGGGATTTTCTAAACCTTGTTAATCCGCTAAGGGTTTGCCAAACACACCTGTTCTTTATTATGATCGTTATGAGACTTTTCCTAATTTCCAGAGACTGCAGACAAGACAGGACAAAGTGTTCATAAGCAGCAAGTGTCAGCAATTTACTGAAAAAAACAATGTCAAACTATTTACTAATGAAGATACGAGGTCACAAGGAAGGCATCGCTTGTTCTTGAACCTTTCAACGAGGTAAACAGACAATAAACATTCATTCATCCTCTGTTCCTCTTCAATTCTATTTCGGGCCGACGCCTGTCCCAGTATGCACTGCACAAAAAGTAGTGGGGCTAACACATTCACCCTAATACTTTTGAGAAAGTCTCAACACAACACAGAGAGCACCTTCTTTCCAAACCACCATACTGCCGGAAAGTTATTTAATCTCCTTGGAGCAGTGCCTCAGGGGGAGTAGTTGCTGAGTTACTGTACTGTTAGATAACACCGCAGGGTATAATAAATGCCAACGAAATAAGGATACATTTTGAATGCTAATAAAGTCCGTATCTCAGATTTAAGTGTTCAACAGCTGCTCCTACCTACAGGAAACACATCTAAAAGAGTCCTGCTGGAGAGAAAAAATATGCAGAGCAAATCTATCCACAGTATAAATATACAGCAAGCAACAGCATGCACTTTCTGTATGCTGTTAAGTTCATTCTACAGTGTGATGTGAAACAAGGTTTTCCACTGTCTTGTGCACACACTGCCAGAGGAAAAAGGTCTGCTGTAGTGAAGTCTCCAGCCGTTAGACGTGACATCATTTCCTCCAGAGGCAGCGTCTGAAAACTTGACCCATGTTCAAGAAGAGAAAACCGGCAGACACCTGTTCCTCCCAGACGTCTCATTATCTGCTTTGGTTTGAAAGTTTAGACTTTATTTTTAATGCATACTTCACAAATGTTATTTACAGCTACCAGAATGATGTGGCCCATGGTGCTTTACACACAGCTACATACACTATTCCATACACAACAACCCCGAAAATATTTCTAAATAGCTAAATTCATCTTCATCACAATATGTGCTCATGAAAAAAGAGATGTGAATGCAGAGGGAGGCCTCGGGCTTGGCTTTCACAAGAATCCTGTAAGGTCTCTGTAATCTGAGCCCTCCTCTCAGGTCTGCAGAGACAAGGCTCTCAAACCTTTACCTGTTCCTGATACAAACAGCAGGTGGCAGCTCTGAGCTTTAGACAACAGGTAAGTCAGATTAGCCAGCTGCAGGAACAAGGAGGCTGCAGAGAGGGGCCCCAACAACTAATAGAGGTTCATATCATTTTGTATTATTCTAAGAGAAGCTACACGAAGGACTGACTTCGTTCTACCTCACCGTTATGCTGGATGGTTATATTTGTGTTAGACAAGCCTGGGAGAGAGAGTAGCTGTAATAACATTTGGGAGTTGTTTACATTTTGTCTGAGCGCCAGATGAAAGGAGCTAACTGCAAAATGACATACAAGGAATTGAACTCTCAGTTATAGGACAGATGCACCGGAAGATACAGACAAACAACTAAACTAAGCGAACACAGATGAGCAAACGTTGACAAACATGAATATAACATGTGTCTGATTTGGTGATGTTCTTAGTTGCTCTCTATTGGATGTCACATGGCCTTGACATGACCCAGCATACAGCTCAGCTATGGTACAGTATGCTCGAGGTCAAAGCCTGAACAGAACTGAATTTTATAGGTCATTATTTGAGAGTAAAAGTAAGATTTTTTACATCAACACATGATACACACTAAATCTGTCAAGAGTACCTCACATTTAGTTATTTAAGAGTTACACTCAAAACATGTGCTAAGGCAGAATGTTTCAGAGGTTCGTAATAACCATTAACATTTGTAAAAGTAACAAATAAAATAGCCACCTGGATTATAAATAGTTTTCACAGATCTAATATTCAGTGAGAGCGTGTCCCATCAAACAGGTGAGAATCCTGTTACAAGATGAAAGAAAGCTAACGTACTGAAGATTTGGTGATAAATTACCTTTAAACTTGCCTTTAAAAGACATCTTGGGGACCTCTGAAATACCTCCAATTAAAGGAAACTCGAGGCTTGAATGTTGTACCTACTGACGCACCATGTAATCAGACACTCCTCGCTCATTACATCTAATCTCAGCAAGTAGCTGTGGTTTGGGTTATACCCCAGAGAATCAAACACTTTCTGTATCTAGTGTTTCTTAGTTTTCTATTTTCTCCTCTCCATTTTTTATTCTTATTTTTCTTAGTTTTTTAATTCATGACTAAATCTAAAAAATATTGATCAAATGCTAAAATTATGAATATGTGAGGATGTGAGGTAGACAGTTCAGCTCCTTGAATCAGAACCTTTTTCTTTTTTTCTCAATTTACTTTCCCTGCCATACCAAATAATTAGAATAGCAGTCTAAGGGACGGACTGTATCTAGTGAAATTTATTTCACCCTGTATATTTATCCGTATCTTATTGATGTGTGGAGTTTGTTTGTCCTATGTTGTCCCTTTAGCAAAAGTACAAGTAAGTGGGAGAGTCTACATGGGTTTTATGCATATACGAATATACGAATTAGGTATGAATCTTTGTGTATATGTACACTCATTTTATTTTACTACGCTTGTCCTTTAATGTAAGTTTTGATCTCACTAGCTGTGATGGTGACGACCCCCAATGTTTGTTGAAAACAGAAAAGGGGGAAAAATTATGAAAAAAAAGAACAAAACATTTAAAAAAAAACTGAATCAAATATTTGTGGAAAAATACTAATAAATCACTGATGAAAATAACCAATAGCATTTCTGTTGGGTAACCTTTCTCATCTTGGAAAAGAGTCTAAATAGTGAATTTCAGAGCATTCTGGTATTATTGTGTGGCTCAGGTCTGACTTAACATTCTTCTGTATGAACTCACAGTCACATTCACCAACACAGGGGGCCACAGCTGTAAATGACCCCTTGACACACAACACCAGTCAGACTGTTGATCACCACTAACACCAGTCAGCTGTGTTGGCTGAGGACCGCAGCTTTTATCCGAGCATGTTTAGAAGACCGGCACTCCAAATGCAACCCAAAGGTATACTTTCTCAGCCGCCCTTGTTCTGTCAGCCGCAAAGTGTTTGACGACATTAAGAATACAAAGTAGTTCAGCAATGACATTTCCGGCCTTTTAACATCCAGTAACATCCCACTGTCTAAGTTGTGGCCTTTCAAAATGAAAACCAGCGCTGCATGGAACGCGAGAGTACATCTCTCTTCATTTGTGGAGACGCTTGGAATTAGTTTTGCCATGAATCTTAATTTTTGGAAAGCAAACTTTTTTTTATAACTGCAATGACTTTGTTTCTCAAGAACAAGCTTAGCCCTTTCTTTAGAAATGCTTTTGTACTCATGGCTCCATATATTGTTTCTTCAGCTTTAAAACATGCTGCATCACCTCTTGTTGGAATCTCATTGAGGTAAGTATTATCTTTTCTGTGTAACTTTAGTCCTCTAAATTGCTGAGACAAAAAAAACAGCAGGGATGTCTGGCCAAGCCGCCGGCCACATAGCTGGAGAGCAATTTTTCCTGTTGGGTTAAGAGAGATTTCAAACACTGGGAGAGTTTGAAATTCACTGGTAGAGAAGTGTGGTTTTCAGAGTGGTCTTAAAAACCCCACTGCAAGTCAGGAGGAGGAGGAGGAAGAGGAGGAGGAGGAGGAGGGGGAAGTTTACTTTTTCCCCTCCTCTCAGCTAATTCATTGCAGGGTCCACACTTTTCCACAGACGCCATAAAAGCACAGTTCAATCGTGACAGCGGTGAAAGGCACGGCCCCTTCCGACGTGACTGCTTGATCTTGATTTTCCGCTAGTCAGCTAAAAGGGCCGACAGTTTCCCCTCCTGGTTTAAAACATGGAGTCTGGAGTTCTTAAACATGACTCATGTGTCTGCTCATCATTCAGCACGGTTCACCAGATATCAGCTAGATAACAAAGAACCCAGCATCCTCTCTCTTAAGTCATGGCCCTCATCCTCAGCCATGAGGAAAAACCTGGGAAGCCACAGATGTGATGTAGCATGTAAACCTTGGGAGACACAAAAAGTAGATAGTTTATGGATTTTCCTCGGCTAATATGGAAATACTCATAACACACAGTCTTTGGGGAGAATCTGTTGCAGCCACAAGTCGAGGGG